AAATATGTCTCTTAATTTTTTTACTTTTTTAATGAGTTAACTAATGATGTTATATCTTTATTTAAAATTTCATTAAGTTTTTTTTGCACCAGTATTCTTTGAATTAAAGTTTTCATATATATTACAAATTTTTGCAAGATAATATAATGTAGAATCCTTTGTTATTTTTTCTATAAAATTTTCAAGATTGTTAATTAGCTTGGTTAAAAATTTATCTAAAACTTTATTATCATTAGTAGCAATATAAGTAGAGTAATATTCTTTTATTGCTTCTTGTACTCTGGGTGATAATTTAAATATTAAGTATGTTGGTACTTAAATTTTTGTATTATCTTCTATTTAAAATAATATAATAAGCAAATATAAAAAATATTACAATTAAAAACAATTTTATTGTTTACTAATAATTTTAGATAGCTGATATTTGTACTCTCTATACTGTACCAAATTTTTTCAAATTTTGAACAAAGTTATCTTGTCAATTACAAGTCAAATTTAATAAACTTTTTATTTAAATTCTACAATTATATATAATTTAAATAAAAAATTCATCAAATTTAACTTGGCGATTATTGAGATAGTTATACTTCAAGTTTAAAAAAATTAAAAAATTTTTTAATTCAGAGGTACAAATAACAAAATTGTAAGAGTACGAATATTAGCTACCTAATTTTTATAGTATTTAATTAGTAATTTTTTGAAATTAAATAATATAAAATATTATTATAGAATAATTTAGATATAATTGTTAGCTTTTAATATCTTGAATTTGTTGATACAATTAATCTAAAATTTAAAAACATATATATTTAAAGTATTAATAAAATTAAATATAGATAAAATTATTATTTATAGATTAAAAAATAGTGAATTAGATATAAATAAAATATCTACTTTAAAATAATTACTATCTAATTACTATTTGATTTGGATTATAACATGAGTTTACTAATTTTTCTCTATACTTTACTATCTATAGGAAGACTTTTGTATGATTGGTTGTTTAAATCAATTTAATTTTATATTATTTATATAGTTTAAAGTACTTTAAAAAAATAAAACTATGAAGAATAAACAAAAAAGAAGTATATAGAAAGTTTTATTAGAATTATAAAATTCTAGTATTAAC